CTCACAAAAACATTACACACCACCATTCCCACTTCTAAATCCGACCTTCTAAATTCCAAAGCAACCGCGTTTTTCATTTTCTTATCCCACCCCCCACGCGGCCTTGCCGCATTCCTTGTCATACAAAATACACACGAAGCACACCAAGATTCCTAATCCCACCCATATTCTCCCCCTTATATATACCACACTTCACCTTCTCTGTCTCTCATTCTTTACTCTCTCTCTCTCTCTCTCTACCCTTTTGCTTATAATTATAATTTGATCTTTTCTCAATTCTCTCAGCCATGTCCGAGAAACAAGCTCATTTGAACGGGGCCTACTACGGCCCCTCAATCCCACCCAAATCCCAAGCCTACCACCGCCCTGGCCGTGGCAGCGACCCTCTCGGCTGCTGCTGCAGCTGCATCTTCGGCCTTATTTTCAAGCTCATTATGACCGCCGTCGTCATAGTGGGCCTGGCCTTTTTCATCTTCTGGCTCATAGTCCGCCCCAACCGCATCAAGTTCCACGTCACCGAGGCCCACCTCACCCAATTCAACTTCTCCAATGACAACACCCTCCACTACAACCTCGCCATCAACCTCACCATCCGCAACCCCAACAAGAAGATCGGGGTCTACTACGACCGCATCGAGGCCAGGGCCATCTACGAGGGCCAGAGGTTCAGCACGTACACCTCGACGACGCCCTTTTACCAAGGGCACAAGAAAACGAACGTGGTGAACCCGGTGTTCCAGGGCCAGCAGGTGATCCCAGACACGAAAGTGCTCTCCGAGTACAATGAGCAGAAGAATAGTGGGGTTTACGAGATCGACGTCAAGCTTTACCTTCGGGTTCGATTCAAGCTCGGATTGATCAAGACCGGCAAGTTCAAGCCCAGGGTTAAATGTGGGTTGAAGGTTCCATTGACTCAGAATGGAAGCTCATCAGTTGGCACTTTCGAGACTACCAAGTGTGACGTTGATTACTTCAAATCAATCTGAGCTCCACATCTCACCACTTCATATGTCTTCTTGTTGATCCAGTCTTAGATTATTTTTTTTTACTATTCTTTTGTTTTTTTGTTTTTGTGTTTGTGTTGATCCAGTCTTAGATTATACACTGCTGAGATATATGATTTCTTTTGTGGGTTTTGATACCTACTTACGTTACGCATGTTCATAAATAAAATAGTGTGTTTAGTAGTTCGCCTTTTGCTTTCTATGATGCTTATAAAATTGATACCTTCAGAAAAAGATAATAAAAGGACCACTTCAATTGGGGATGGCCTGCATTGACTAGTTTGAGGGATACCAACCATTCACTCACATTCGCTCTCACGTCAGCTGTCTCTTTGGTCACTCACGTGTCACATGGGCTAGTTTTGCTGGAAGAGAAGACAACACATTGTGGATCCAACACAGTAAGACGACTCCTTGTTTGTACTGGAAAAAAAGATGCTCCTTACCTTTCTGTCTTCAGGGACCGGATTGGACAATGGGATTGATTTACAAACTTATAATTATAATATTCAAATGGGATTTTTTTTTCTAATTGTCTTTTAAGCCCAAAATATTAATGTAATCAAAGATCAACTTATAAATTTAACATAATGAAACAAAGATTTGAATCTTAAATAATATGTACAGGCCATGTAGGCTCTTCATAATTAATTAACATACAACTTGAGGTTTTCATACCAGAGTTATTTACACTACTACTTCCTGAGGTTTTCAACATTTTCATAAAATCCCTTTAGATTTTAGAAATTACACGAACACCCTATGAGGTTTTAAATTGTTTTCACAAAACTCGTTTTTATTGATTTTTCATCCAAAAATTGATGATTTTATACCCAAAAAAAATTCTCCAAATGACAAAGTTAGCCTTTGAGATTAGATTGCATATACTTCATTAAGGTTAATTTTATAATTTGTATAAGGTTTTTTTCAATGAAATCATTAATTTTTGGACAAATAATCAACGAAAATGGATTCTGTGAAAACAAACTGAAACATCAGGGGTGTTCGTGTAATTTTTAAGACCTGAAGGAATCTTTTGAAAACACAAAAAACCTTAAGAGATATTAGTGTAAATTTATGTAGTGTCGTTGGCGACGTTGCTTAATTACAACTCCGTAACGTGGTTTGGTGGCTAACTAATCACTCACTTTTCAGAACAGTTGTAATTGGTGACTCCTTCAACGGCAATAACGTGTAGTAACTGGCAAAGAATGTGAAAAGCCGTTTGAAATCTTCACCCTCCTTATTGAATATTGAGGAACAATTTTCTGCTGCTATCACATTCATATTGGTCAACTTGCCTCTATGTCACATTGTTTGGTTCAATATAAATAAATAAAACAAAGTGTTAGCCAATGTGGTCTTAGCTCAGTGGTTGAGTTGTTGGCATACATGCTATTGGTCTGTGTTTTGATCCTCCATGGCATCAGTGGCGAACTTAGACTTTCGTTCATCTGGCGGCTTAAAAAAAATCCAACAGATATATAGCTAAACAAAAAATATTTCTAACTCAGTATATTAATAGCATTGTCCAATAAGTAAATTTACAATTGTCCTCGAAGACTTTTCATATTCTGAAAACATTGCATAATAAGCTCATTATCAATACTATTAAATATGTCTTTTTCAAGATATACTACCAAGCAATCATTCATTATGTGAGTGCTTATGGAAAACATTTTCAATTAGTATGTTGTTTTTCATTCATTAAGGCTTGACATGTTTTCAGAGCTTGGTTATGGGAACTGTTGGGACCTCCAACATGAACTTGAAATCTTTCCTTTTTCTTCTAATTCGAAAAACTTGTACCAACAAATGAGTCACCTCAAGCTTTCTCTCCCAAATTTGTTTTAAAAATGTAACAACCTAAGCAAAATACAGCATCTTCTTTGATGCTATATTCCAACCAATAAGGGAATTCATCAAACCATGCTGGGTTGAATTGTCTTGACTCTTTTCTAATTTTTGTTTATAGGAAAATCATGATTTCTAGGCTAACAAGGCCTTTTTGTAAGTAAGCTCTTCTAATTTCATCTCGAATATTCAGATTGTAATCTAAAATCCGAGTTCGTAAACCAGAATCAGAAAGAAGATATGACATATTGATTTCTATACGACTTTGCTTTGAACTATCATCACTTCTCCCAATAGGTCGTGACAATTCCAACTCGGATTTTCTTTTAAAATCTTTTTCCATAACTGTCATAAATAGTTATCCACCAAATTACATAATGAGTGAACTTGGTGGATCTCTATTCTTCTTTTATAACATAGGGTTTTTCATTTTTAATATAAGCTTTGGGCTTAAAGTGTATGTATTGGATGAGACATGTGGGGGCTCCACCTGAGAAGGACCTACAAATAATTTTAAAAAATGTGAGTTTAGGTGGGATTATATGGCTGAAATGTTTTTGTAAGTGTGGGCAAGTGCCCACAGTCAGTGGCGGAGCTACAGCCAGGCCCGCCATGGCCCTGGCCCCCCCACCTTATTATTAATATCTTTGATATATTATAAAATATATGATATAGTAATACAAAAACTGCAATTAGATTAGTGATGGCCCTCCCAGATGAAGATTAAAAACCTAGTAGAAGTGATTTTGAAATTTTGGCCCCTCCATACTAAGAATCCTAGCTCCGCCACTGCCCACAGTTGTCCTTCATTGGGTCCGCCAATGCATGGCATCATATGCATGTGAAAATATCAAGTGTTAAGCAGCATTGGGGGAACATAAAAATAGTGAAACCTTCTCCTCAAAAGACAAAATAAATCAGAAGATGGTGATATTGATGTTGAAATGAAGGGTATAATAATGTACACATTACATGCTTGTGCCTTAAGGAAATAATACTAAAGTTAGCTAAGTTTTCTATTTTTTATTTTAGTGACCAAATGATTTTGGGGGTGACATGACAATATGTTCCTTTTTAATACATATAAGTGATAGACTAAACTACAAGGGGGAAGAGGGGGACATAGGGCTGTTCACACACACACATTATCATTTTGTTATGAGGGTTCGAAATTTAGACCATTAATATGCAAATCAAGACCCTTTTTTATTTGCGACAATATGTTCTTAAAACTAAGCAAGCACTAAACATCTAAACCCAACGCTACTGAGCAAGAGATGAGCCCAAATACCCCTGGTTGCCCACGCCCGGAACCCAAACTATTCATGAGGGTGGAACAAAAATGCAGGAAATAAGACCACCCATTTTATCCTATATCCAACCATGCGGTGGGAAAAGCCCAAATCATTGTTCTTCAATCTTGCTCAAATCAAACTATGACTAGGCCCAAAATGCAAAATAAACTCAGCCGAAAGAGTAAATATGGTATTTAGCAACACTTAATTAAAATCTATTTCAAAGAGAAGTCACATTTTCATCAAATTAATCACTCACAACTTCTTCAGCTATAAATTTCCTAAACATGTTGAGGTGGATGAACATTTCATCAAAGAAAAAATTGAGAACAAAATCATCTACCTCCCCCTTGTGAAATCAGAAGATCAGTTAGCGGATGTCTTGACTAAGGCTATCTCCAGACGAGTGTTTCATAACTCACTTATCAAGATGGGTATTAGTGACATGTATGCACCAACTTTAGGAGGAGTGTTCACTTGAGTTAACTTAACAAATCAATGAGATTTTTTTTTTTTTTTTTTTTTTTTTTTTTTGGGTATAGTTGACAATTCCTGTATTATTAGGGAGATATTCTTCAATTTAATTCATATATCTTATTCCTTGTAAAGCACATATGCAAAATACTATATATCTCCTTACCGAGAAGAATAAAATCATTCAAAAATATTCAAACCATATTCATATTTTAACATACAAGTCCTTTTGCTTTAGAAACAACAAATATATAGTTTACTATGCTATTAATGGGAAAGCTTTTTGTTCGTCTTCGTAGCTTTGTCACAAAGAGCAAGTAATTCATGTATTATAACTGAAGGAGCTGATTTTCTCACTCCTGTTTTGTACATGCCAAAAAATTTGTAAATTTTGATCTGAGATGAGAGCAAAACTACAGGTATTTACACCAACGTCTATTCATTGCTTAAATAACGCATATACAGAGTCGCATACTTTTGCTTTCCATCCATTTTTGTACTAAAAGCATCAGCAATCAATGATCACCTAAACCTCTACATTGCGATGCAACCGCATTTATTTAAAGTTAAAAAAAATTAAAAACCAGTAAAACACCATCGTCCAATGCTGTGCTTGCTAACATCACATGGAAATATCATCTCCTGTCAAGATCATCGCTTGACCCGACAACAATCCAAGCCCAGGACTCTACCCAGCCCCACAAATTAAAACGAGCTTCTTTATCACACGCTACAAGTCTCGCGACCGGGAGAAGGCGACGGAGTATAGTACGGCGGCGAAGCACAAGGAGTCGAAAACGGCGTAGGCCCGTCGTCCACCTCTACACTCATCACCGTCACAGCTACGTCCAGCACCACCGTCGTCGCCGTCTTCACCTCTTTCTCCGAGCACGACGATTGCGTCGTCGTCTCGGCGGAGTCCAGCACCCTTCTCTCCTCCTCCTCCTCGATCGTGAACAAAACCCTTGACGACACCCCGTACAGTGCCTGCTGCCACTTGAACACTTCGTCCACGTCAACGTCGACGCTGCTGTGGTGCTGTGAGCGAGGCGGGTTTTCGTGGGGCCCGATCCGGGTCTGAGACGGAGACTTCCGCCGGCGCCAGAGGAGGAAGAAGAGCTGGGCTGCTAGGGCTGCTAGAATGGCCGCAAACACTACAGTGAGCGCAGTCCCGAGCTTGCTAAGACCACCATTCATGTGTCTGTGCGTATAACTTAATGTCTGCAAGTTGTTTTGTTTGTGTAAATGAATCTCTGGGCTTTTTCAGTGTTTTAAGTTAACGGGTGGTTAACCGGCAACCGGTTGTTTACAGAGAAGGTAAAGCGAAGAAATGGGTTTGAAGAGGATGGAAGGAAGTGTGGTTTAGCAGGTTGCCGGTGGATGAATGGATAAAGGTTTTGTAAAAAAGAGAGTGAGTGTGAACTAGGCGTGAAGGAAAACGATGTTTTTTCTTGGAAATGTGGGTGGGTGGGGTGAAGAAGAAGAAATGTGGACAGGATCCGGGCAAGGAAATGTGTGATGGCGTGGGAGTCGAAGGAGTGCTGAGTTGGAGTTTGCATTGAAGTTTGAATTAATTTTGGCAGTTGAGTGGGGGGGCTTATCTGGTGTTTTGTAATTTGCTACCATTTTATGATGTTGTGCAAACACCTAAAAGGCCGCGACTTCACGTTTTTTGGGATGCCAAAGGTCCTAGAACTTTAGCTCTTTAATATAGATAAAAGCAAGTAGAATTTGAAGAGCAAAATTTGTTTTTTGTTTTTAAACGATATTGGAGGATGGAGGAGTCGAATCTAGAACCTCGGATGTAAAGATAATTGTTCTTAGAGTATCCACAATCATACTCTCTATTTTTTAGTTAAATTTTAGCTAAAAACATATAAAAATTATTTTAGGAGCTCTCTATAAAATTTAAACTTCAATCATGCTCTCTAGTTTAGGGAGTCATAAATGTTATAATTCTTTTTTGATTGGTTCATCTCTATTATAAAAAAAATAAAAAAATAGTTTGTATTAAATAAAGGTTTGAAATACTCGTTAAATAAAGCAGTATTAAATTATATGGAGCCACTTTGAGTCCTTTCTCTCTCCTCAGATTTATGAGCTCCTAGAGGTCTCTTTATTTTAAGAGGTGGATAGAGAGCATGGTTGGAGTTGTATTTTTACAATCCCTCCCAAAAATTTATATAAAGAAGTAGTTTAGGGAGCCCATTGTAAATGCTCTTAATCACTTAAATTAAAAGCACCTTGCAAAATTTGCTTCTTCGGTGGAGATCCTTCAGAAGTATCTCAGCAATTGGTGTGAGAAATAACCACTTGGGCCTTCACATTTCAATTGATGACAGGAGTTTGCTGGAGAGCCGTGCTTGGGCTGGTTGAGCCAGACAACAAAATAGCAACCTGATATTTATTCAATTTAACCCAATTGCTCACAAATATTTTGTTCGGCTTTTTCATGCTAACTTTGTAAGAGGTTGTGAGCCCATCATCTTGGGCCTACTTCATTCCAATGCAATTGAATGGGAACAGTTCATATTCATCAACAACAGTGCTTGAAGGCAACCGACATTATTATTTTCTTCAAGTGAAATATAAATCATAGAAGATATAAAAGGATAAGAGGACACAATTATTTCTCTTATTATTATTTGTTTGTTTGGGCGAATGGAGTCTAGCTCAATGAAAAAGGACTTTGACTTACAAACAAGAGATTTCGGATTCGAACACTCATGACATCATTTGTGTGTGAGAGAGAGAAATTCCCCCTCCCCTCTAGTTTAGACTATCGCTTATACTCAAAAATTATTATTTGTTTGGTAAATAATTCATTGAATCTCTTGTTTTATAAGATTTGATTGGCTATAAATATTTTTTGGAAGGAAAATCAATAATTTGAGTTTTCAAAATCAGAGTGTGCTATAGTCTATATATGTATAAGAACAGTAAGCTTAGTGAAAGTGCAAGGTACTACTACATATGTATATGTGTATGTGTAAGAAGTGTATATGCTTTTGGAAAACGACCGAACAATCATCAAAAGCATCATCATTCATCATCTCCCAAATCTAATCATAACCCACATTCTCTGGTTTATTCGCGTGTGCTTGCCCCCATCTCTTTTTGACCAAGTTCTCCATCAAAGACCACCCCACCAAAAACAAGAACAGAAAAGAAAAACCCTAAAAACTACATAAATAAAACAACATGGTCAATTGGTCATGGTGGGAGTGGTAGCCCCCCCTTCCTTTCTTCACCATAACAGAAAGAAACAGCAGCACATGAAAGTACCCCTTCTCCTTGGATCCCTCAATCTCATCACTTTCAAATGATAAAACCCAAAAAAAAGCACAAAAGCACACACAGAGTGAGTGATGATCAATACAATGACTACAGATACATATTGGTCTCTGATCTATAACATCTATATCTATGTATAGATTGAGGGTCTTTTGGATCCGAGATTTCCCTTACTTTCATGCAAAAATATTCACTCAGAAGAGAAAGAAAAGAGGAATTGGAATTGGAACAAAGACAGTGACCTTATGGAAAAGAGGCCTCTGATAGCTTCAACTCCCCTTTTCTTAAAGTCTGCGAAAGCCCTCTCACTTCTCAAGCTGTCTGTGGAAACTTTGTCTCCATGCTTAGCTCCCTTTGTCTTTTCTAGATGCCAACAACGGTCTTTCTCTTTTTGTGGGTCTCATGTAACAGTCTTGGAGGGACCTTATTGTGTCACTTGTAGCTTGTCTTTGGTTTTTCAAAATCAAGCCTCTACTTGGTACATAAATTGTCTGCTAATTAAAGACATATAGTACACCCTTCAAATTTAATAAAGTTGAAGGTGCATGAAGGGAAATAGAAATCCCTAATTACCATATATATTGTGTCGTTGGTTAGTGTTATATGGGTCAAAGTTTGGAAGAATAAACAGGAGAGTTATGTTAGAACGTGACAATCCAACTCAAAATTAATTGATAAAGGATCGAGATGTTCAACGTCTTTTGAGTACTATAATACAGGTTTTCATTCTCCAATATGGGATACTCTCTCAACAAGGCAGTATTTATCTTATGGTGATCACAAAAAGGTTTCCTTAAGTAAATGAAACATATTGGCTCTTAAAGTAAGGTATAAAACTTTATTGGCTCCAGTAAAGCTAAAAAGGATGTGCCTTAATCAGTATGTCTCTTATCCCACAAGGCTTAAAAACTGAAGTTTATTAGGCTCTCTCAGTAGGCCCTTTAGTGATGCACCACTTTACAAATTTGTGTAAGATCTGTGACAATGAATTTGAATAATAAAAACACCATCCATCAATCTTTAAGGTCTCAGTTTCTTTTTGATCATCGAGTATGTAAGGAGATGATTGGACAAGTAAGCATGACAACTTTGCTTTGATAAAAAGAGGGTTTCTATTGAGGTTCGTGGGTGAGTTTCGACCGTAGATTTTGGAAAAATCAATCATGTGCAACTGACTCTATCATTCTCCTCAATAAGAATTGTAATTCCCTTTAGAACACACTCACAGAAATTGTCGACTAATATTCAGAAACGCCAATTGGCATGCAAATCGGGGCCAGAGGGTCAAGGTTTACACCCAAGCGTAAGGATAATAAGCTTGCGCGCAGGCCCACATAAACCTTAATTCAACCCCAAAAAAAAAACAACCAATCATCGCAATGTTTGGGCCTCCCTAATACGTGAAACCTTCATATTCTTCCATAAGCTGTGCATGAAATTAACATGCACGTCAGACTATTCAAGCTGTTAACCCTCAAGCCAAGCGAGACTTAAAATTGTATATATTTGGCTCATATTAACTGAGAAATAAATAGGATTCCATAAGAAAAATATATATAAAAACACAAACATTTGAACTGAATTCATTCAGTCTCGTCCCAATCAAAGCCTGAGCCCTTACACAGTGTCGTGTCACATAAGTACTGTACTTCTCTCTTTCTCAGACCCATGAACCATTTCTAATACCGATGTTAAATTTTTCTGTTGCACTACATTTGACAGCTTTATGTTCACTATGGTTGCGCAAGTTACCAGTGAGTTGGCAGCACAGTAACAATATATATGCTTGACGTCGTTTACACAAAAATAGTAAGCCATTGAGAATACTTGTGGTAGGCAAAGAAAGCTAAACCCTCTAATATACTACAGTAATGTTTTATTTATCACGTAATCTACTGTTAGGTTACGTAATGAGATAGATAAATACATAATTCTCAGCAATTGAATATCACGCAAATGGCATGCAATCTAGCAAATGAGAAAGGCATTTTGGTGCACATTTTGCAGTCAAATTATTCTGATCCTGAAATTGGCCTAGTCCTTGGTGTAGGGGATGAACCCCAAAATGCGATCCATGTGTTTTTCAGTGGCATGACACATTGACACATATGCATAATCAATATTATTGACTTGGTCCCTTTTCATATAGACTCTCTCCCAACAGTGGAAAAAAAGTTGAACCATTTGTGTGCCGTACAAAAAAGATGCATTGCACAGGTGATCAAAGTTAGCCCAGTAAGGAAGGGTGAGAAATGGCAGGCACCCACAGCCACAAGGAGTGAAAAAGATAACAACTTTGTTTTTCAAAAGGGACACCCACTTTCTGCTATTAATTAGGACTTGTTTATTTACTAAAGATACTACTTTATCTTGCTTCCTGCTTTTGAGGGGAAAATTAGATTCCTAACACACTTACATCTTAATAAAATAATTCAGTGTGTTTATGACATGGATATCATATAGGCGATCGTAAAAGTAAATGATTGAGGACTTAGTTCACATCACATAGAGCAAATTAATTATATATACAACAAATATCTGCTTCATTATTCACAGATGAGGATACATATAATTGCTCAAAATAATATATAATTTATTCCAGGTGATATAATCAAACTTAATTATATTTCTTAAGGCTTAAGGATACATCAGATAACCGGATTAATTAATTTGTTGAATAAGAACATTAGTTGCCAGATTCTGAGCCAATTTGATTTTACATGCTTCATTTATGACGTTAATACTAAACTTACACACACTACAATAATTGACAATTAAATTGAGTGAAGGGGCAGAGGATTTAGAGAAAGGCGAGCAAGATTCTTCTTAAAGTGATGTTTCTATTGAAGGTTCAAATAGAAACCCCCTTTATTCTCAGTTCTCATCACTTTATTTTTGGTCATGGACAACAAAATCAAAGGAACTAAATGTGTTGTTACCAAAAAAGAAAGTAAACGTGTTTGGAGCAAAGTTGGGTAAAGAAGAAAAATGAAAGACGGATACTGGAAACTGGTAAATGTAATGGGAAAAAAAAAGGCAGTCTAAGATGGAGGCTTCTTCCTTTCAAGTTGGGAACAAAGTAACAAAAGATAAGTGAAAAGTAAAGGAGAATATAATAAATATTTAATTAAGCTGGATTTGGTTGAAAACAAGAGAGAGAGAGAGAGAGAGAGAGAGAGAGAGAGAGATGGCATAGGGC